GGCCTAATCTGTGGGATCTAATCGGTCTGTTGGAGGTAATTGGCAGCAGGCGGTCTCCCAAATAACCAATAAATAACATTTCTGCCAAACTCCAGGCTAGCTGGATTCTTAAAAGTGCCTTGAAATGATTGAAATTGTGACCCCCCAGGACACTGCAACCGTCATAAATATGGATCAGTTTTGCCAAGTGGCTGAATTCTGATCACATGACGATGGGGATGCTGCAATAAAAATAAGCTTCCTGACAGTTAGAACAATTAACCAGTGGAACAACTTGCCACCAGAAGTTGTGATTCTCAAAACAGAAAGAAGTTTTTAAGAAGAGATTGGACAACTATTTCTTAGACTAGAAGACCTCCAAGGTCCCTTCCAACTCCTCTGTTCTGCTCTACTCTATTCAACCGTCGTAAGTGTGAAAAACAGCCACTGTTTTTCGGTGCCGTTGTGACTTCCAACAGACACTAAACGGACTTTTTCAAAAAGAAAAAAACACCGAAACGAATAGTTTCTCTTACCATTTCTAGCAAAGTCGGATGATGAGCTTGCAATGCTGGGAACATTTTCTTCTGCCTTTTCTGATTCCTCGTGTTCCTTGAGTGTGATTTTGATCTCCCTGAGGTGGCCACGTTACGTGGCTTAGAGAGAGTCTCTTGGTGAGTCTCGTGCTCGCGGCTTTGAGTGCTATGCGAAGACTGAGGGATCGTTCTGAGAATGGCGTCATCATTTTCAGTTACCGTCTTTGCTATGGGAGCGGTGGACTCTGAAACAAAGGTTTGAGCAATGAATTAATATGCAAGGGCTCAAAATACCAAACAGCTGTGAAAAGATATCAAATTATGAGCATTATAGTGCAGGTTTGATTTGCATCGAATGGACCAAGTTACTGCTGTTGTAGTTAACACAGGCTATCAAAAAATTAAAAGCCAACTTACTCGTATTTCTTAGAAAAAGTAGGAATCAAAGATATCCATGCACCCTATTTTATCAACTTTTATATTTAACACGTGTCCTGTTATAGGTTTAAAATCCATAGCTTGGAAACTGAATATTATGCAAACCTATCAGACACAGTTTCTTCATGTAGAATTATTTTATGCTCACACAACTTTTCATACAGTACTGATTCATAAACTGATCACAGCACAAAATCCGTCACTTCCATCTGCTTTTTTTTTCTTTTTAAATCACCGCATTGGATGGTAGGAGTTGATATGCTCCATAAATTAGTCTAATCTTCATCTAAAACCAGCTAAACAATCTCTATTCATTTGGGGCCCAGTAAATTCCCCGAGTCTCTCATGCTTGCACAGTATGAAAAAATACTTTGGACTGAATATGTCGTTTTCACAGATCAGACATTATAGTGGTGTATAACCTACTTCACGGATCCATAATGACACACTAAGGTGAACAGTCCTCCAAATTTTTTTTAAGGGGAACTAAAGTATCCTAGTTTTTATAGTTTAGATATTTTGTAATTTAGGCATATGACTGCATAAGGTGGATATTTGTTACTTGCTTATAAAAAAAAGGAAACAATGTTAAAATGAACAATCTTTAGCTACTTGCTAAAGATGAAATTAACTACGACAGAAGGGAATATTTGTAGCTCAAGGTTGCAATAGCCGTTAGACTTATATACCGCTTNGGAGTCCTTCGGGAGTGGGCGGCATACAAGACAAATAAACTAAACTAAACTAAACGTCTGTAGAGATTCTCAGCCAGGTTGTCCCAAAGATGCTTTTTCAGGAGGAAACTGGACTTTCTTGGTTTTTTCTAAGCTTCCTGAAAAAGCACCTTTGGGACAACCGGGGTGACTGAGAATCTCTACAGACTTTTGAGCTATGTAATTTGGGATGAAAACCCTTTGAATCGTGTGGGTTTAAAGAATGGATTTCCAGAGGAAAAATTGCAGACTACAGGAACCATTTGCACACAGAGCGGCCTCGACAACCCTCTAAAAAGGATGCAAATGACCAGCTGTCTGCAAGGAGTAAAAACCCTTCCCTTCCCCACCATCCAGTCAGAACTGAAGAAGCTTCTTGGAGGAGAAGTGAAACGTCTTCAAAAGAAAAACAAAACAAAAAACAAGACAGCCCAGTTGCCTCCTGAAAAAAGCATCTTTGGGACAATGCAAAACAGAGGTAGGTAGGGCCACAACTGAACCCAAATTTTCCATTGCTAAAGGAAAACAGTTGCATTTTGCCCCATTTTATGACCCACAGTTGTTAAGTGAGTCACTGCCGTTGTTAAGTTGGAAGGGCCACTACTAGAAGTGTTGGAAGTTGAGGACCACTTGTTCTGTATGACATTTACTATTCCATACTTTTTCAATTACTCATAACATCCTGTACACATGGGTGAAATCGGTGTTTTCATGCATTTCAGCAGCTGCTGTTTTTTCTGCCATTTATTGTTCCTGCTGTGCATGTAGTAAACCTTGAGTTGAGGCCGTTGGTTTGGAATAGCCTAGTTTGTAAATTGAGGCACAGCCCAGAGCCTTCTGAGTTTTTTCTGAACAGGCAGGGTTGCAAGGAAGCTGGTCACCTGCTTCCCAGCCATTAAAAAGGTACGGAATGTCAACAAGAAATTTCGAGTTTATCAGGTTTCCACAAAGTAAATTTTTGAACTTTGCAGCTAAGCTTTATATATCATGCTCGGAAGCAGTTTGCTGAATAAACACAACGTGCTCAGCCCAAACCAAACAATCTGCCTGAATATACCGGATAAAACCCCATCTGGTTTTGCAGGGTATAGTTTGAGGGAAGAATTCAGGGCTAAAGATTGCGAAAATCCAAATTTCAAGAAGAGAGACCTTTCTATAGGTCCCGTTTTACTTCTGATATATTGGAATATTGCTGAAGTAAAGCCTGTGCTTTTCAGAAGATCTATTCTAAGTTCTGATTCCGTCTGATCAATCCATCAGAATAGAGATAGAAGGGACCTTGGAGGTCTTCTAGACCAACCCCCAGCTCAAGCAGGAGACCCTGTATCATTTCAGACAAATGACTGTCCAGTCTCTTCTTTAAAAACCTCCAGCGATGGAGCACCCACACCTTCTAGAGGCAAGCTGTTCCACTGGTTAATTGTCCTCACTGTTAGGAAGTTTCTCCTTAATTCCAAGTTGCTTCTCTCCTTGGTTAGTTTCCATCCATTGCTTCTTGTCCTGCCTTCTGGCGGTTTGCAGAAAAGGTTGTCCCCCTCTTCTTTGGGGCAGCCCCTCAAATACTGCAATATTGCTCTTACGTCCCCCCCTAGTCCTTCTTTTCTCTAGACTGGCCAAAGCCAAATCCTGCAACTTGGAATTANTGGCTCATCAACTCTGGCATTGAAGTGTGCAAGTCTTAGGGCTGTCATGTTACAAGGCCCTTGTATCCCTACCCCTTTAGAAAAAAACTCCCAGGGATGTTCAAACTTGACAGCTTTAAGACTTTAAGGTTTAGATAGGACTCTTAGAGGCAGGCGGGGCAATTGGTGAGCAAACCAATCAGTGAGCGGCGGGCAAGGCAAGCATGGTGCGGATGGGTGGGTGGGGAGCTGGAAACGGTTCTAAACAGCACGGTAGATTTGTGGAACTTCTTCTACAGAAGAGGTTAGAACTGGCAGGAACCCACCCCTGCCGCCAGGCCACCAAGCCAGAAAGGTAGGGGACCGCTGATATAGATGGTCCACATACCCTTTATCTATCAATATTGTTGCACTAAAGATCAAACATATTTGATGCAATATATTTAAAAAGTTAAAAGTTGAGTGGGGTGTATTTAACCTTTTTACATGACTATACCAGGGTACACTCCAGCCATTCTGAGGATGCTGTCAAAATTCAGTCCTGACAATAGAAATAATAATACAGCAACAACAAAAGACTGGGGCTTCTTTGATCTCTTACAATCAGATGAAGCAGTCTGTGTCACTTCTACATATTGGCCTATCTGCATTCATATCACAAATCAGTCTAAAGCAGCAAGCCTGCTCTTTCTATTTATACCTCCTTTCTTATAAAGTTCCGTGCGTAGTATCTGTGTCTTAATGTGAATCAAACAAGCACAGGCCATTACCTCCTGGAGGCCAGGATGGGGAAGAACAGTGCTCAGTGTTGCCAAGACTATATGGCTGTGGATTTAGTGCCTCTTGGATCCCAGAATCAGAGGATTCCCATCCTTGACTCTGAGCATTGCCCACTCAGATTCAATGAGCAATTTGGTAGTCTTCTGTGTGAACAGTTCCTACTTGAGAATCAGGTAGCAATTGTGGTTGACATTGCCGGGGGGGTGGTGGGACTTGGCACCATTTCATCTTACGTGCCACTTGACCTATTTGTGGATTGGGGGGGGGACCTGTTCACAGTCACCTCACTTCCCAGTCATATCTCAAGTGCAATACACTTTACATGGAGTTGGTTTTAAGGAACATCAGGAAGCTAGAGCGGATCCAGAATGAAACCTTGCAAGGAGCTATGGGCACTTCTCCCAAGGGCCGTTTGACACCACTACTTTGCAAGCTGCATTCATTCCCAATTGGTTTCTGGGTGCAGTTCAAAGTACCGATTATCACCTTTAAACCTCTACATGGCATAGATCCGAGTCCTCGTACAATGGCATTCTCCCTAGGGTGCCACACACTGTTAGGGGATACTCCTTCCCTGAAAAGAGACTGTCTTGTGAGACTCATAAGACAAGCCTTCTTGGTGATTACTGGGTCATATAAAATGACCTTCCTCCTTCAAGGTTCAAGGTTTATTAAACTTGTATGCCGCCCTATTCCCGGAGGGACTCAGGGCGGCTAACAAACCAAAGGGGAGGG